TGGCACTCTTTTACCTGGAAAGGAGGAGGATTGGGGGGATCTTACCAATGTGCATGAATACTTAAAGAGAACGCAAACATGACAGAGCCAAGCTCCAGGAAAGGAAGCAATGGGCACAAATGGAAATGCAGAAAGCTCTCTGAATATCAGGAAATATTTTTACTGTGCAGGTGATGGAGCACTGCCACAGGCAGCCCAGAGAAGCTGTGGAGTCTCTTCCTTGGAGATACTTAGAAGCTAACCAGCCTTGCTTGAATCCCACAAGGGATGGATCAGGTGACATAGAGAAGTCCCTATCAACTTCAACTGTTCAGTGATCCTGAGAATATAAAACCCTCATACCTTTAGAGTTAAATTGAGCAGACATTCACAAAAAAAAAAAAAAAAAAAAAAAAGAAAATCACCGAAGTTGTGTGAAAGTAATTTTATCTTTACCTCATATCAATTCAGCTATTTCAGAGGAGCTAAAACAAGAAAGATATGACCCTGTTCTTATTCTTGTAAATATGATGAGCAACAGGACTGAAACAGACAGCCCCTAATTACCGTTGGACTTGATGAGCACTTGACATAAATTTAACCTACAAAAACATCATCTTAAATTGTGAAAGAGGTAGGAGACTAATGGGCTTAATGGAAAATCTCCCTGCTACAGGTTGTAAGCTCAAAGCTACATGAAAAATACAGCAACAGAAACCCTCCATATTTGCAATTACAATTAATTGCAAATATGCAATTAATCCTGATACAGGCATGCTTTTGTTTTATATTGTTGTTACCACTAGCCTTTGCAATGCATGAACAGAAAGGCTAGCTGAAAAAAGGAAAAAAAAAAAAAACGTTACAAAATAATTTTTGTCCATACAAAAAATATCTTCAATACACACTGATTAAAGACCTAGACTCCTTGCTATGTTTCTAGCTGCGCAGAATAAGTCCTGAGAAAGTCTCTAGTTTCTCAGAAGTCTCTGCCCACCACTATCTTTCAGCATCAATAGTATTCTGCCACATGTAACCTCTCCCCCAAGTTAGTCAGCAAGAGCTCTTACACCACAGCAACTCTGTGAAGTGCCAATCTGATCTAAGAACAGGTATCTCAGGAAGCAAACAGCTGTGTATGTCTCTCAACCCTCCTTGTTTTTTGACCACTGCTGAAGGTTATAGCAAGTCATTTTCTCATTCTTCCCCCTCTCTCCTCCTCCCTCACTCATTAACTTTTGCACTAATTTCATAAAAACATAAGGAACTTACACTACCAAAAACATGTCTTCCTAGCTATTGCAATCTGTAGCCAAGCCAGTTAACAGCCAGTCTGTGGTTCTATTTTCTCTAAATAACCTGAGTAACTGTACTTCAAAAAACCTAAAACAAATTTCATTTTCACACTTTCAAGTAGGAGTATCAGAAGCAGGAGCTTCATTGTTTTTAACATGCTGCTTAAGATTTGAATAAATTTAACATGGCTTCTGAGCTTCTTTTATTCTGAGCAAAAAGGAATGGGAAAAAGAGGGGTGTGAAAAAGAAACTTGGATGTGGGCAACTAACTTGTCAGTTGAAAGGATATATTTATAACTTCATTTTTTTTCTCTTAATAGCTAAAAGCAGTAAAACATACTATCAATTCACTTGAAGTAAGAGATTTAAGAATGCTACTCAGGCGAATTTCCTGTTGATTACACCACTTGTAATTAGAGCAGTACACATTCATAAACAGTGTGTATTTACTGATAAACTACACTTTTGTGGTTCTTTATTTGAAAGCCAGGCCCAGTATCATCACATTCGGGGAAAGTAATACTGCAGACCAACACAATGAGTCAGCAACCATGAAAACAACATATTCTGCCATCCAACAAAGATTGCATTTTAGATTCAAGTCCTGGAATCACTGGTAGATCACCTCTATACCACCTTCCCCCTGCCGCATGCTGCTGCACAGCTCCAGGACTGACTTAACAGTTGTCAGCCCAGCTTGTTTCAGAAGGAAGAAGGAATTCATGTGTAAAGTACCCTGGGTCTTGGAAACACAGAAGCATGTGCTGGAGAAGCTTAGTGCCTGGATGGCTGACTTCAGCAGTGAGAAAAGGAAGCTGCTCAACTAACTGGAACTAAAAGAAGAAAACTGAAATTTCTTTATCTTCTATTTATTCTCAAAGTAACTTTTATGTAATTCAGCTCGTGCATCTCATTGTACCTACATTTCTGCAGGAGCTTTGCAGGCCTTACTTCCACTTTTTAGCAAGATACAGAGTGGGGAGAGCTCATAAAAGCATCCAAACTGTACACAGAACACATCTTCCAAATTAGGTGGTGTTTGGGGCATTATGAAATGCAATTAGAATGGAAGGGTCACTCACACAAAACACTTGACTTCTCAAAGTTTTCTGTAGGATTTTTCTGGTGGTGGTGTTTTTTTTGTTTGTTCGTTCTTACGTACTGTTAAAAAGAAGACAGTCCAAATGCTGCTGAAGCTTGTTCACACACAAAAACCTGGTAGGGCTGAGTATAACCCACTTCTATTGCTGCTATAAGAATAAGCAACAGTATTAGAAAACAAAACTAATTCTGTGATACAACATTAACACTATAAGATGTACAGTGGAAGAAAAACAGAAAAATAAGCTAACATGACATCATAATTCAGAATTTAGATCCATGAAGAGTTCTGAATCACAGAATTTACCAAAGCATGAAAAGACAGACAGGAGACTCAGGAGGAAAAACACTAGGTTTCCCTCTTCAGTGAATCTGTTGATATGAACAATAAAAATAAAAAAACAACAACAACAAAAGCCATTTGCAATAATCTACAGTATCAGGCAGAAAACACTGTACCTCCCAAAAAACCAAATTAGTTTCACTTCTATAGGTTTGATGATCAAAGGAACAGATGATTTATAACATCTGGACATCATGTCAAGAAAGCAGTTACTTTCTTTCTTTTCCAGCCTCCAGATGACTATTGTTTCACTTAGTTCAGGATAGGCAACACTAATAAATTCTATCCTACATATCAAAATATGGATCAAATGCATTTTCTTTTTCCATAGAACATGAAAGTTGTTTCACTTCATTTCTCTCCTGCTCCCATCCAGTCAATGTTTCGCTTTGATGGCCTCATTACACACTTCTTTTCTAAAGAGCATAACTTAGCATTTTTCCTCTTTCCCACCCTTGGACCAAAAAAAAAAAAAAAAAAAATAATTACAGAGACTGTTCCCCATCATAAAAGAAAAAAAAGAGACGTTTGTGCTACACGTGATGGAGCTTGTGGAAAGTACAATAAAGGAAAACTATTGTAAACCACATGCTGCTCAGGAAGAGATTTCTTTGTCACAATCATACAGTAAAAACACATGAATACAGAGCATCACTTCCAGAAAATGAGGGGAAACACACCTATAACCAGTTTTCCTTTCTTCTATAATCTCTCTTTGAAACTATTACGCAAAGCTGGTGGGAAATAGTGGGACTGACCGACAGGATACAATAATGTAAAGTGATTTGATTACTCTGAAGCAGAGCCTTTTCATTAAGTTTTTAGTTTACAACACAGGATCTATTAGAAGAAGGTTCATTACACATTTTTTGTATCAAATGGACCGAAGGTTCATCCTATCAGATGCACCCTCACATTTATAAATATTACGTAATTCCCCTTTTCTTTACATACATTACACATGAATATGTATAAGCCTCTCTAACATCCAATCATTTAGTACAAGTGTATTTTAATCTATGCCTTTTTTTATACTTAAGTAATCAGGTATGCAGCAGTCTTTCATATACATACTGTATATTTCAACATTAGTCATTTGTATTCATATAATTGAGAAGGAGTGAGCGCCTAGCAATTGCTTCTGAAGAACCAAGCTTCTTTGAAATGTATTTACAGATGGTTTTCTCACCTCCTTGGGAATGCTAAGTACTATCAGTGCAGCAATAAAAAAAAAAAATACTCAACTATAAGAGCTCTGATTCTATTGTAATACAGTGCTATTTCTGTTAAATAATGAAACGGAAGCGGGGGGGGGGGGACACTAAAAGAGTAATGCTGTTCCCATAGAAGCAGGTTAGGATTTTTGTTTGTTTGTTTTTGGGAGGGGGGAAGAGGTGGAAAGAAGGAGAAGAGCTGGGTAGCATCTTAGTCATCTGAATGACAGATCTGATGAAATATTGAAGAGCCATGAATCCTGCTAGGTGAGACACTTACTTTAGTCATCTGAAAGCCAGGTAGCACCTCCATCCCCAGAAGTAATAGCCCACAATAACTCACTTATGACTGGCACTCTGTGCCAGAATTAATGTTTCACACTATATATTCCATACATTCCACGGCATTCTTTTTTTTTTTTTTTTCCTAAGGGGTGGGAGGGGCAGGGGCATGAAAGCAGCATTCCAAATGTTAATGAGAAGTAAATAGCAGAACTTCATGTAAGAAAGTGATGCACAAATCCTCAATTTCCATTCTACCTTCTGCTTCCACTAAAAGCAGCAGAAGCAGCTTTTTAACTTACATATTCATCATTCCAGGGCTGGCTGAAATGCACAGAAAAAACTAGACAAGAATTATGGAAATATGGATTTTTCTATTGAAGATACTACATGAGCTTCATTTCTTGCCTATTCTTGATTCTCAATATTTTTGCTGTTTTAATAACCAAACCCCCCCCCCCCCCCGCCGAAAAAAAAAAAACAAGTAAGAAATCTTTCCTAGGAATTCTAATACCTTAAAAATGAGAGGAGCCTTCTAGTGCTATTCAACTAATGCTTTCCAGAGCAACAGATCATTATTTTGCAAGCATTTTTGCTGTGCAAATAGCAGGCGGGGGGGGAAGAAAAAGATAAAGCAAAAAGAGGATACAAACCATAAGCACAAAATTTACAAATACCGTGCTGCATGCCACCTGCTACTCATGTTTATATATTTTTTCCAAGCCTAAACAAACAAGCACAACCAGCCTAGGAGACAGAAGGGATAGACAAATCCCCAGACTTACCGTTTGTATTGTCCCTCTGCAAAGTTCTCCAAAAGAAATGTAAATTCCTTTAGCTGTACTTCATTCTTCTCTCTTTTCTCGAGTCACACAGAAGCAAAATAATCAGTGTTCAGAGGTTCCATTTACTGCTCTACCATCCTCAGCAAAATGCATCTAGAGACTATGCCAAAAGTAAGCCCAGAACTCGGAGGCAATTGGAAGAGGAAGCGTGGGGGGTTGCCGAAGGACCAGATTGTGAAATGCAGCAGCTCAAGCGCAGAAATATTCTACTGTACAATATACCTGGCTTCTTGCTCACCAAAAAACTGTAGTGCAAACTGTCAGTAGTAGCCTCCAATAGCTGCTGTGCGTGCTGCAGATGGTACGTCTCACTGTTACCTTCCCAGATGGGTAGAGGATTCAGAGAGCAGCAAAACCAGGGGGTCGCCTCCAAACCAGGTGGATTGCCAGCCACTCATTCGCTCAGTCCTATTAATCAAGACAAGAACAGCTCAGTCACCAGAGGTATCTCCTTCCAGGGTGCACAGGATTATGGCAAGGTTATTAATCTTGCTTTGCTGCATCTCCCCCACCCCCTACATTCAGCAGCCTGCACTGAGATGATTGCCAGCTCTGTCTCTGTCCCTGTTCTACTGCATTTTGCTCAGCCCTCTGTTGCTGCAAGTGAAACACAGAGGAGGGAGGAATACTAATAAGGTGGTTAGCTACAGTTTCTTTAAGGCATTCTACATACTGCCTGTGCATGTGTATGCACACATTTTCTGGGGGGCAATCTGGGTTTCTTTGTGGCTGAAATAGGACCTGTTTCTACATCAAAGTCTGAATTAATCTGGATTATCACTTAATGAATATCAGAGCCAGCAATTGTGTTTTACTTAGGATAAGAGGAGGGTACTAAATGCCCTAGAAGATTAGGAAGGCAGTAGTGGTTAGTGGAGGGAGGCAGGGGTTTGTACAGAAGCCACACCATGCTCTGAATGTGTTCGGAAGCGTTTTAGGCACTGTTTTAGAACTCATTCTTATACCCTGTACCAGCTGGAATATTAAAATCAGCACTATAACATCCCTATATAGATTCGGCAGCAATATGCAAAGTCAAGTAAATATTTTTAGAAAAGAAAGGATTTCTGGCAGGAAAGGAAAAATTTAGGAAGTTGGCTGAGACAGACATCCAGCACCGCATTTGTGAAGGTGCTTGAAATTCTTTACTAAGAGCTGTTCTTCTCACTCATGAAATGAATTTAGAGTTCTCAGTCCAGTAACTAAACAAAGTTTCCAAGCATTCCTGAGTAGCTAGCCAGCATTGGTACACTAGCTTGGGAATTGCCGAGGCAGGTAGAAGTCTGAGTTGTAAAATCACTCCTGTGAAATCCAAAGGCAGTCATGTTGCCTTTGCACTCCCACAGGTATTCCAGACCTTCCCCACCAGGTTCAGAAAGCAAGGGAATCCGCAATCCTATTTATTTATTTATTTAGCTGCAAGCAACACTTTCACACTCTCTCAGGTATCTGATAGCAAACATTTTTCAGAAGCAGTTTGGGTATTTTTAAAAACCACAGTAAGTTACAACTGTGTGAGTTTGGTACCTGTTTAGAATTACAGTTCATCAGTCTGAACAACAAAATACAGTTCATGCAGCTCCCTGTTGAATGAGCTACGTGAAATAAGTTTAGTGTTTCATTCTACAAAAAGAGCTACCACAGCATGATCTAGCATAAACAGTGCTTGAACAAGCACAGGGATGGAAATGCCAGAATAATTTTAGGCAGCCCGTCTATAGGCTAACTGGAAAAGAGCCTGGATATACTGCCTATGGCACTATTACTGTTACTTTAGCACAGAAGACTGCAATTTAATATGGCACTGTTACCACAATATTTAATATTAACACCAAACAAGAGCCTTCTGCTGGTAAGCAGACCCCGCAGTTTTGACAGCCAGCAAACTTAAAAACCACACAGCACAAAAAGGCTGCATCTCCGTGGTATCTGGAAAGGGGAATATAGGGCACTGTAGGGAACCGTTTCAGAAGATGGAAGACCAGCTCTGTTCCACTAATCACATGCATTCACTTGGGCTTTTGTGCACTCTTCCAGCTTAACTTGCAGTACAATTTAAATCTAAAATGATTTATTTATTTGAAAGTCCACAGAACTAACAGGAAATGTAAATTTTAACTATTTTCCACTTTTGCTGCACTCATTTTCTTTTCTCCTTCACAAGTCCTTCTCCTTCTAATCCCAATGCTGCATGACACCTTTTTGTTTAAGTGCCATCAGTCAAGAAACAGTATTCTCATTCACCCACAGTTATAACTGAGCCTATCTGCATAAGAAGATGAACAACCCTAGGAGCTTGGACTGAAGACCCATCTAGCTAAAATTTTAACTGTGTTAGTCACAGTCACAGATAAACATAAGATTAAGGGAGGCATATTTCCCCAGTACACTGCCCCGATCTTTAATTATCTGCGCCATAAGGAGTTGCGAAGTCAAAAACAAGAACACCTCTCTTGGGTATGCTGCTCACAGCTTCTTAGGCTTCTGTCACATCCTTTCTGAGCTTTTTCTTTATGCTGGGAGGCTCTTACAGATTTAATTGTCCTTCGTATTGAAGTTGCTCTTGTTTAAGCAATCTTGTCACAAAGCTTTTTCACCTGATGAGGTGCTCAAAATGCCACAGGCACACCACAGACTTGCAATGCTACTTTGGTACTTTGTTTTGCGAACAGACCATCCGGAACACTTCCAAATGAAGCTTTTGCTTTCTAAGAAAACAGCATGAATGATTTGGCTATTCTCAAAATACTAACTTCAGCATTTAGAACACTTATAAGTAGTTGATTAAGTTTTCATAAGAAAGATCTCATATCCAGACCAAAGTCCACTGGAGGCAGTCTTTTCTAAATGCAGTCAGAGAGTCCCGGGGGCACTTAAAAAAAAACTTACAGGAATAATTCAACCAATTAACACATATATACAATCTCTGGGATCTGAACCATAGCAAAAAGAATAAAATTCACTTACATTTAATTTGTATGCTGCAGATTATATTTTAAGAAAATGGGACAACAAAAGTATTATGCAAGATTAAGTTACTGTTAACAATATCCTCCAAATACTGCTCATCATAAACCCAAAGGTAGAGGTAAAAATCTCTGTTCTACTTCATCTGTGGTCACATCTGTGTTAAAACTACACCACCTGCTAATGACTTCACGTTATTCTAAAGGAAACTTATCCTTTGCGTTCTCAAGAGTTGGCTGCATTATTATTACTTTTTTCTATTTGTCTTCTTATGGGGCAGCACATGCAGCAGTTTTGTCAACCATCTTCTCAGCCTCTGAGCTATCACAGCTTTACAAACATCTTTGTTCATACTCCCACACCATGCTTAAAACAAAAACCTGAACTGTGCAGTGCTAGGAACATTAGGATTGCTTTCCAATGAACAACTCTCCCAGAAGTTGTTAAGCATATTCAAAACAGCAAAGATTTTCAGTGAGATAAAGTAAAGTCATGAGGAAAAGCTGGCAAATGCATTTCCTGGAAAAAAAAAAAAAAACAAAAAACTGTACAATGTTTATATTCAAGACAAATGGTAAATGGTTTTCTAACTGCACTAAGCATTTTTTAGGAAGTATGGGTCAGGATCTATCTGTTGCAGTTGCAGTAAGCATAATAGTAACAATCTCATCCTAAACCTCACTTCTCCAGGGAATTATATATCTAACACATCCTTTGTGTTCTTTATATCTGAAAACACAGTCAAAGTCCAGTCAGCAACTTAAGCAAGCTTCTACAAGCTTTTGAGATGCACACAAGACATTACACATAGGTTGCTCTGCAAGTAATGCCTCCTATTCATGTCCAAGAAAACTACAACATATACAAAAAGCACAATAACACTATTTCATAGAGCAAATTCTCAGATACAAAGCACTATTTTCCAGCATAGTCACCACCCTTTTCTGTGCATTTTCACAGCTGATGACCAGCACCAGTGGAAGTCACCCATTGTTTCAAAGCTGCTTTGATGGCATCATTGCTAGGAAAATGCTGCCCACACAGTCCAATTTATATTGGCCCAAATAGATGGAAGTCAGAAGGTACCAAATCCAGCAGGTGTGGTAGGATGATCCAGCCAAGATTAGTAATGTGTTCCACTGTCTTCAAACTGATATGGGCCTGATGTTATCGTACTGCAAGAGAAAAGTTATCTTCTCTAGCCTGACCGGAATTTCAAGCCTACAGCTCAGACAGCATCACAATGTAGCAGCCAGAGCCAATGGATTGTTCAGTTTCTAGAAAACCCAAAAGGATCACTCCCTTCCTATCCTAAAAGACAGTGGATATTGCTCCACCCACTAAAAACTATGTCTCGAATTCTTTTTTGATAGGGAATTCACCTGTCACCACACCTTGGACTGCCATTCTGACTCCAACCCATAAGGCTGATACCACTTCTCATCACCGGTAACGATGTGATCCTGGAAACTGACCTTCAGCCTCGTATTTGTTCAATAGGTTCAATGACAAATGTGCAGGCACTGTTGTTGCTGTTGCTGTGTGAGGATTCATGAGGCAACCTGGTGCAAACTTCGTGATATTCCACCACTGCCACCATCATTTCCAACAGTTCACTAGCCATAACCTGACAATTCATGCAGATGAGCTGATTGAGACGCTATTCATTTCACTGTGTGACAGCACGGCTTGTCTTTCACATCCCTGCCACCACTTCTGAAATGCACCATCTCACTGTGTTCACATCCACAGTTTGGTCTCCACAAAAGTTCAGCAAGCAACAATGAATGTCAGTATGTCAGTTAATGCATTTTCTTTCCCCATATGGAGGAAGCCCATTCCACACCTTTGCTTCATATACACTTCCATGTCAGATGCCATTTTGACAAACCACCCCTCTGTGCCATCTGTTGCATGGTAACAAAATGAAATGGAATATTGGCAGGAAGGTTCAATTTCTACTCCATACTACCAACACCTGCCTCTGACTCGTAGGCCAACATAATAAAATAGATAGCATTTCTTTTATAACAGTTCTCAATTTTAAGCTTACTAAAATACAGATAGGCATGTCACACAGTGGCATTCAAGTTCTTTTTAAAATCTACTTCCTTGACAAAATGAACAATTTTCACTATACATATTTTTAGTTCCAACATTCTTATCATCATATATGAACTTTCAACATAAATTTACTCTAACTCAGTGACTTAAGCCTTGATTTCAGATTAATTCTGGCATGCTAAAAATACCAATCATAAATGCCCTTGATTTTTTGCTATTTGGCTGCAATCATTTGAAAATAGATTTACCAATCCTTATGCCAGACTTTGACAGAAAATCCAATTTGTACAATTTTAATTTTGGACTTTTTTCATGTTTCCTTAGGTTGATGTTCTGTTTTTTTTTTACCCCTCGAAAGAAAGACTTTCAAAAAGGTGTAAGGAGTACCTAAAGTCTTATTTGAAAGTATCAGAAAGGAAGGCTACTTAAGGAGCATGTATGTTATCATAAAAATGAAAAGACAATTTCCAAGCCCAACAATCCTATAGATATGTAGCATATAATTCAGATCCATATGTGTTCCTTCCCAGTGAAGTATATTACAC